TTTATTTATTTATTGTCCTCCTTATGAGTGGCGGTCGGGGACGAGCGATGGTCTTTTCCTACCAATCTATCCCCCTAGGAGCATGTGCGTAGTACTTTGTTTCGATAACTAATAGATTTTTGCAATAAGTATGTGAGTTCTTTATGACTAATGTTGAGTCCATGGATTATACGCACTCTCACCCTTCCACCATTGCTAGCCTCTCTAGTACCCCGCAACTTTCGCCGGTACCATAAACCCACCATTTACCTTCCTCAAAACAGCCACCATACCTACCTATTATGGCATTTCCATAGCCATTCCGAGATATATTGCCATGCAACTTTCCACCGTTCCGCTTATTATGACACGCTCCATCATTGTCATACTGTTTTGCATGGTCATGTAGTTGACATCGTATTTATGGCAAAGTCACCATTCATAATTCTTTCATACATGTCACTCATGAGTCATTGCACATCCCGGTACACCGCCGGAGGCATTCATATAGAGTCATATTTTGTTTTAAGAATTGAGTTGTAATTCTTGAGTTATAAGTAAATAAGAGTGTGATGATCATCATTATTAGAGCATTGTCCCAGTGAGGAAAGGATGATGGAGACTATGATTCCCCCGCAAGTCGGGATGAGACTCCGGACGAAAATAAATAAATAAAAGAGACCAAAGAAGCCCAAATAAAAAAAGGAGAAAAGAGGCCATAACAAAAGAGAAGGCCCAAATAAAAAATAAAAAAATGAGAGAAAAAGAGAGAAGGGGCAATGCTACTATCTTTTTACCACTCTTGTGATTCAAAGTAGCACCATGATCTTCATGATAGAGAGTCTCCTGTATTATCACTTTCATATACTAGTGGGAATTTTTCATTATAGAACTTGGCTTGCATATTCCAATGATGGTCTTCCTCAAAATGCCCTAGGTCTTCGTGAGGAAGCAAGTTGGATGCACACCCACTTAGTCTCTTTTGTTGAGCTTTCATATACTTATAGCTCTAGTGCATCCGTTGCATGGATATCCCTACTCACTCACATTTATATCTATTGATGGGCATCTCCATTGCCCGTTGATATGCCTAGTTGATGTGGGACTATCTTCTCCTTTTTTTTTCTCCACAACCACCATTCTATTCCACCAATAGTGCTATGTCCATGGCTCACGCTCATGTATTGCGTGAAGATTGAAATAGTTTGAGAACATAAAAAGTATGAAACAATTGCTTGGCTTGTCATCGGGGTTGTGCATGATTTAAATACTTTGTGTGGTGAAGATGGAGCACAGCCAGACTATATGATTTTGTAGGGATGGCTTTCTTTGGCCATGTTTATTTTAAGAAGACATGATTGTTTAGTTAGTATGCTTGAAGTATTATTATTTTTATGTCAATATTAAACTTTTGTCTTGAATCTTGTAGATCTGAACATTCATGCCACAACAAAGAAGAATTACTTAGAGAAATATGTTAGGTAGCATTCCACATCAAAAATTTTGTTTTTGTCATTTACCTACTCGAGGACGAGCAGGAATTAAGCTTGGGGATGCTGATACGTCTCCAATGTATCTATAATTTTTGATTGCTCCATGCTATATTATCTATTGTTTTGGATGTTTATGGGCTTTATTATACACTTTTATATCATTTTTGGGACTAACCTATTAACCCAGTGCCCAGTGCCAGTTTCTGTTTTTACCTTGTTTTATAATATCACAGAAAAGGAAAACCAAATGAAGTCCAATTGACCTGAAACTTCACGGAACTTATTTTTGGATCAGAAGAAGCCCAGAAGACTTGGAGTGCACGTCAGGGGATCTACGAGGAGGCCACGAGGCAGGGGGCGCGCCCACCCCCCTGGGCGCGCCCTCCACCCTCGTGGGCCCCTCATGGCCCCCTGACGTACTTCTTCCGCCTATATATCTCCATATACCCTAAAAACATCCGAGAGCACAATAGATCGGGAGTTCCGCCGCCAGAAGCTTCCGTAGCCACCGAAAACCAATCTAGACCCGTTCCGGCACCCTACCGGAGGGGGCAATCCCTCTCCGGTGGCCATCTTCATCATCCCGGTGCTCTCCATGATGAGGAGGGAGTAGTTCTCCCTCGGGGCTGAGGGTATGTACCAGTAGCTATGTGTTTGATCTCTCTCTCTCTCTCGTGTTCTTAAGGTGATACGATCTTGATGTATCGCGAGCTTTGCTATTATATTTGGATCCTATGATGTTTCTCCCCCCCTACTCTCTTGTAATGGATTGAGTTTCCCCTTTGAAGTTATTTTATCGGATTGAGTCTTTAAAGATTTGAGAACACTTGATGTATGTCTTGCCGTGCGTATCTGTGGTGACAATGGGATATCACGTGATTCACTTGATGTATGTTTTGGTGATCAACTTGCGGGTTCCTCCCATGAACCTATGCATAGGGGTTGGCACACGTTTTCGTCGTGATTCTCCAGTAGAAACTTTGGGGCACTTTTTGAGGTTCCATGTGTTGGTTGAATAGATGAATCTGAGATAGTGTGATGCATATCGTATAATCATACCCACAGATACTTGAGGTGACATTGGAGTATCTAGGTGACATTAGGGTTTTGGTTGATTTGTGTCTTAAGGTGTTATTCTAGTACGAACTCTAGGGTTGTTTGTGACACCTATAGGAATAGCCCAACAGATTGATTGGAAAGAATAACTTTGAGGTGGTTTCGTACCCTACCATAATCTCTTCGTTTGTTCTGCGCTACTAGTGACTTTGGAGTGACTCTTTGTTGCATGTTGAGGAATAGTTATATGATCCAATTATGTTATTATTGTTGAGAGGACTTGCACTAGTGAAAGTATGAACCCTAGGCCTTGTTTCAACGCATTGCAATACCGTTTACGCTCACTTTTATCATTAGTTACCTTGCCGCTTTTATATTGTCAGATTACAAAAACCTTTATCTACCATCCATATACCACTTGTATCACCATCTCTTCGCCGAACTAGTGCACCTATACAATTTACCATTGTATTGGGTGTGTTGGGGACACAAGAGACTCTTTGTTATTTGGTTGTAGGGTTGCCTGAGAGAGACCATCTTCATTCTACGCCTCCTACGGATTGATAAACCTTAGGTCATCCACTTGAGGGAAATTTGCTACTATTCTACAAACCTCTGCACTTGGAGGCCCAACAACGTCTACAAGAAGAAGGTTGTGTAGTACACATCACACCTCAACTACATTCTTCATGGCATCTCTCACATTGTTCGGGAACCCCTTGTTGAAATGCATTGAACTTTTAGCCAGGCTTACCCTTTGGCATGATGCCTGACAATAAATATCGACTACCTCTTTAATCTGTAATGGTCCTTCTATACCCGCCCTTATAAATAGCAAGCTATCGTCTTCAAAGAGATATGACTGACGGGGGGTGCTGTGGGCGCCACTACGATGCCCAGTAAGTTTTTCGAAATTCCCCTGCTCGTCAACAGGCAAGAGATATCTCTAGTTGCTAATAAAAACAAATACGAGCATAGAGTCCCCTTGACATATACCCCTCGAGTGTTTAAAATCCATTGTACGTTCCGCACTAAAAACACATTGACAAAGAAACCGATGGAACAATCCCCATGATAGACATCACCCATCTCTTGGAGAAACCCAACTTCAATATTATAGCCCGAAGATAACCCCCTAAACTCTATCATACGCCTTCATCATGTGAAAGTTTAAGAGCGTAATATAGTGAACTTCCTCCCCTCTTCTTCTTCATAAAATTTGATCACTCTATGCAGTCAAGATATTATCAATGATTAACCTACCCAGGACAAATGCTGAGCACCTCCTTCAATCTGTCGGCTTGCACTTTTGACATGATTTTTAGCACAACGTTACATAAACTAATCGGTCAACACTAAGAGAGGGAAGATGCACCTTGAACTTTTGGGATCAAAACAAACAAAGTCTGATTTACCTATCGTAAATAAAAAATCTTCTTCTGCTCCCGAACTCATTTTACCTATCATAAGTCAAAAATCTTCTTTTGCTCTTGAGCTCAAATGAACTCGGGATGGAAAGTAAAATACAAAAAATAGTAAAAAAAGGGGGGTCTTATTTTTTGTGGGTAACTTTGGAAAAAGATTTGAGTGCTTGAAATTTTTCGTCATGAAATGAACTTGTGGAAGTCATGAAAAAAAAATCGAAATCAACACTTCAAAATGCTTTAAAAATAGCATTTTTGGAGCATCACTTTTGTTTGTTTTGCTACGACTTCACGGATGGCATTTCATGATAAACTTTTGCAAGCACTCAAAATATTTGTCAAAGTTTTCAACAAAAAAGTTTGGTTTTATTTTTTTACTATTTGTTTCAATTTTACGGTTCAATTAGGGAGCATTTCAGCTCGGGAGTAGATACTTCGCATCCTAAGCCCTCAAATCCATTTAAAATATACAACACAACCCTTGTTACTTCTTCTCCACACAAGTGTGAATGAGATTGAAAAAATGATCAGAAATCCATCTGGTCGAGGTGCTTTTGTCGGGTACATCTAAAACGAGTGCATTTTTAACCTCTTCTGTCGTATATGGAGCGTCTAGTGTTAGTTTTTGTGGTGCACAAGAGAGAACCTCATCCATCCCCAACGTTCCCTCTGTATTGTATAGTTCTTTATAGAACTCTTCCGCATGATTGTGCAACTGTTGAGGTTCCTCACAATACGACCCAGATGGGGTCTGAAACCTTTCAATTCCATTCTTCTTCCTTTTGCGTGTGGCCTGTTGATGAAAAAAAAAACTTAGTGTTGCTATATCTCCTTCATGAATCACCACTAAAAAAAAGACGGGCTCAAGCATAATATTACAAATGGGCCCACTAAATCCAGCAGCTCAAAACTCCAGCTTGTTTCAGTTCGGCCCAGAAGTAGGCCCATAGCGGCAGAAGAAATGGATTCATCGCACCTGTTCGGTCCACAAGCGCATCGCACTCTCGGCCATTTCCGGCAGTTCCCCACCTAACCCACATCGAGAGCAATGGCGGCGGAGGCGGCGGAGGAGATGGGGGCGGGAGCGGGAGCGGCGGTGGGAGAGAAGGGACCGGCGACCGCGGACAGGGCGATGGGGAAGACGGGTCGGACGGAGGAGGAAAAAGGGGACGCGGCCGCGGACAAGGGGAAGGGGTCAACGGCGGAGAAGGAAGAGAAGGGAGCGACGGCCGGGAATGAGGAAGAGGGGGAGGAGGAGGAGAGAGCCAAGGCGGAGCAAAAGGGAGAAAATCGACCGGCATCGGCAAAGAGGGGGCACAAGAAGAAGGCCGAAGCAGGGGAGATGGAAGGGATGTTCACATGGTTCTCTGAAATTGCATTATCTGAGAATGGGGCGGCGGCGGCGGAGAGGGAAAGAAGGGAGCGACAACGTTTTAGCAGAACGAAGGGACAACGGCCGGAGGAGAAGGGAGCGATGGAAGAGGTGGCCGGCAAAAAAGAGATCTTTTTCTTCATGGCCAGTGCTGTCATCACCTTGGAGAGCTCGGATGGGATGCTGTTCACGGTGTCGGAGGAGGCGGCACGGCTGTCCGTGCCCCTCGCCGACATGATCGACCAGGGCTGCGCCGGAGGCATCATCCAGCTACCCAACGTGGACGCCAGGGCCCTCGACACGGTGATCGAATACTGCAACAAGCACGCCGACGCCGCCTCTGCCAACAGCCGCGTCGATGAGGGCAGCAGCAGCTGCAACTCCGAGGCATCCGAGGAGGCGCTGATGGAGTGGGACCGCAAGCTCGTCGACGGCCTCAGCCAGGACGCCCTCTGCGACGTCATCATCGCCGCTAAGTTCCTCCACATCAAGGGGCTCCTCGACGCTGCCTGCCAGAAGGTCGCCGTCGTGGACATGGTCAATTGCAAGACCCCCGAGCAGATGCACCAGATGGAGGAGGAAGACATGTGCACATGGTTCTCTGGACTTACTCCCTTTTCTGAGAAGGGGACGGCGGCAGCGGAGGGGGCAAGAAGGGGGAGAACCGTTGGTCAACGGCCGGAGGAGAAGGGAGCGATGGCAGAGGAGACAGAGCAGGTTGCTGGCGAAAACGACACATTTTTCTTCAGGGCCAGCGGAAAAATCATCACCTTAAAGAGCTCGGATGGGATGCTGTTCAAGGTGTCGGAGGCTGCAGCCCGGCTGTCCGTGCTCCTCGCCGACATGATCGACCAGGGCTGCGCCAAAGGCATCATCCAGCTACCCAATGTGGACGCCAGGGCCCTCGCCACGGTGATCGAATACTGCAATGAGCACGCCGCCGCCGCCGCCACCGCCAATCCCGACGCCAACCACGGCGTCGCTGAGGGCAGCAGCAGCTGCAACTCCGAGGCATCCGGTGAGGCGCTGAAGGAGTGGGACCGCAAGCTTGTCGACGGCCTCAGCCAGGACGCCCTCTACGACCTCATCATGGCCGTCAACTTCCTCCACATCAAGGGACTCCTCGACGCTGCCTGCCAGAAGGTCGCCGACATGATCAAGGGCAAGAGCGTGGAGCAGACGCGCAAGATGTTCGGCATTGCCACCGACTTCACCGAGGAGGAGGAGGAGAAACTGCGTAAAGAGAGTCCATGGGCCTTCGAAGAGTAGGAGTCCCTTCGTTCGAAGCCATTTCTGCGGTAACATCTCACTGTCTGTATCTGGTGGCTTAGTGGTTCTGTTCTGCCGAGAAAATCGACTATTTGCCACTTTCAATATCGGGCTTCGCAAAACCGCCACTCCTAAGATTGGCTTCGCAAAAATGCCATTCAGTTCGTGTGCACGTTGATTACTATGCCATTTTCCGTTTTTATTATTACTTTTCTTTTCTTTTCCATTTTTTGGCACCCGAAAAGACCAAAGTATCCCTCACACTATCTTCACGTACTACTTGGGATTCAGATAGGCACTTGAAGCCAAACGAGCTCGTGCTGCCCCGCCGAGAAAAGCGGGCTTGCCTTATCCCTGATCGCCTAGATTTCTTGGGTCAATCGCTGGACGCCGCCCCCATCTTCTAGACATTGCGCCGCCGCCGATTTCCTCGACGCCGCGTGCCACCAATCACCTCAATGTCCAGTATGTTAGAGATAATCCTGTATTAGTCTTGGTAGTAGCGTCCTAGGCTGTCACGTAGGAGTACTAGTAGTTGGTGTTCATGTTACGTGATGAGTTGGTACATACAGGAGTCCTATATGGTAAGGTGAAGACCAGTAGTCCAGCAAGCATACCTGGTACGATGCGTGACTTTGTGTCCGTATAGTTTTAGGTTTATGTCAAAAGTGGGTGCTGGTTTGCATATATATATATATATATATATATATATATATATATATATATATATATGCATCAGGACGTGGAGTTTTTTGTAACAACGTGGAAAAAAAGGAGAAAATAAAAAGAAAAAAAGAGAGGCACGACATGTGCTTTTGACCAAAAGTTTTGCGCGTGCGTGTTCATCATGAGTTTTTTTTTGAGCATCAGTACAAACACAAAAGCGCTCATATACACGCGCATACACATCCTACCCCTATGAGCACCTCCGAGAGACTGAGCCGGCATATCATCTTGAGATTTACGAAGTTAACGTAGGCGTCTCGTCGTCGACAGGAACGTCTCCTCCCACTGAAAGTGCATCGCCGGAAATCCTGAAATAAATCTAGGAATAATGCAAGCACCAGGATTTGAACCCTGATGGGTTGGGGATACCACTGTTCACCTAACCAACTCAACCACAGGTTGATTCGCGTGTTCATCGTGAGTTGTGATCGATCCTGTAGGCAGAGTTCCAACACAGTACTGCGGTGGCGGCAGTTGCAAGCATCCGCAAGGCATGGACAAGCACCCGCGGCGAGCCGCTGGCATGCCCAAGCATCTGCGACCTGAGGGTGAGTTGTGCCGGAGCGTGCAGACATGGACGAGCGTCGGTGGGGAGTGGCAGCGATGAGGGCGAGTTGCAGCAGAGCGTGCAGATATGGACGAGCGCCGGCGGAGAGCGGTAGCGACGAGGGCAAGGTGCAGCAGCAAGTTTCTTGGACAGGCATGGGAAAGCTAGGGCGGCGAGTTTAGGTAGCTCGCGCAGGCATCCATGAAGTACAACAGCGAGCAAGCATGACGACAAGAACGAGATAAGCCCGAGAGCAAAATCCGATGCCAACACAGCCAGACCACAACGCATTGGATAAGTTGAAACGACCAGGGGTACTTTGGTCCTTTCAAGTGCCAGAAAATGAAAAAGAAAAAGAAAAACAATGAAAAAAGAAATAATGGCATGGTAATCAAAGTGCACATGAGCTAGGTGGCTTTTTTGCAAAGCCAATCTTGAGAGTGGCAATTTTGCGAAGTCCGATAATGAAAGTGGCAAATAGCCGATTTTCTCCTGTTCTGCCTCCTTTATCACTAATCTCCTAGTGGTCGTTTCTAAGTCTTTGTCAAAGGTTACAGGAGTAAGGTCAACTTGATTCGTCTTCCGCGCACTTAACCTTTTTCATTTTGTTCTGTTGAAGAAGATTGGGGTCGAATTTGTGTTTAAAGCTTCGAACTGCATGCTTCAAGTGGGATGAATGAGTTAACCTGAATTACCTGACATTTCTCACCAGCCCCATGAATTGCTGTTGAATTCCTTCAGCTACTCTTGATCGAAGGTGTTGCGGATAGTACTATTCTTGATCTGCTTAGCTGAATTTGGAAGTTTCCTCAAAATGCATGTTATGTCTTGCCCATTTTCTTGCAGCTGGCAATACCATACCATGATTGCTCAGTCTCGTGCTTGTATAAAGTTGCAGTGAATATTTGAAATGCTTGCATGTGGCCGGTGAATGGCACATCCTGATGTGTATGTCACTGATTAGAGATACCATGAATTGCTCTCTGTCTGTGTTGGACTATTCTTTGATTGAGCATGAGTGAATAGCATATATATCCTGACCCCAGGCAATTGGTGGTATAAAGGGAGTTTCTTATCCCACATTGGATTGTGTGTTTTGCTTGACTACATTCGATTAAAGAATATAGGTCCAGTAAGTATTCTGGTACTAATTTTGGCATGTGGCTCACGCGTCTTAGTTTTTCTAAACTATATATTCGTTTGAAACTAACCTTATCAGTCAATTGTCACCATATAACGGATAAGGATCTTGTCTTGTTCTTATGTTTGAGTGTGATCTTATTATTCGCTTGGTATTCAGTATGATCTTATATTTTCTTCTGTATTTCGATGAAGGACGTGCTGCTTCTTTTCTTTTACCTTTGAGATTGCACCTTCTAGCTAGTATTAAGCTGAGTGTATCATTTGCGATTAGTAAACTCTCACCCAAATCTTAAAGAAATTAACTATACATGGAACATGCCTCATACTGGTGATGCGACTACCATTATTTCTTCCTGGTACAAGTGCATTCTGTGTTTCGCTCTTGATGTCTTTTCAGAGGAATATGCATCTTTGTTTTTCAAGAAAAAAAATGGAGACTTCTCTGCCAGCTGTGCGGAATTAACAGAACTGAGATCACAGTCCCTGAGTATACTTGGGCTAGCAAGCCGGACAGAGCTGGAAACTTGGGGGATGCAGAGTTTCTCAGCCTTTTGGATGCAGTTTCAAGTGCTTGCAAAAATTCGTCATGGAATCACATTCCTAAAAGGCGCGCCCAAAAGAATAAAATCAATACTCTGAAAGTGCTACTTTCAAAAGCATTTTGAAGCACTGAATTTTTCTTTTGTCACGCCTTACAAGAATGTGATTTCATGACGAATTTTTGCAAGCACCTGAAACTTTTGTCAATGTTTTTCACAAAAAAGAAAGACTTTTTATTTTTGTTTCGATTTTACAGTTCACCGAGCTCATTTGAGCTTGGGAGCAGGACACTTTCGAAAGTTGGACTGCTACATCTTATTTGGCCCACGAAGTGAATGTTTTATCCTGATGTTATTTGTCGGTAATTTCTGATCAACCCATTAGATTGATGTTTCTCTGTCCAGTGTGTTGTACTATTCCTGATTAATTTTTGTTGTAGCTAGTATCGGAGATTTGCTTGCGCAAAGTGACTATTGTTCTCCCAATGCATGTCATGTCTTGCTCAACTCCTGCAATCTCTGCAGCTCTGCTTGTGCAGTGAAATTTTTTCAACTACTATAATTGCATGATATATTCTGAATTCTGTCAATCCCATGCATGGATTACTCAAGCTCTCCAAACATTGAAGGTGTGTCCTAGCTAGCTAGTAAGTACTCATGGTCTGCTTGCATGAAGCAACTGTACATTCCTGCAATTCATGCCATGCATATTCGATCCCATGATTACTCCATCTCTGGTGTTCTTCTTGCGTGAACATTAAGTAAATATTTCATCCAATATTGAATTTCGTCGCATTTTTTTTCAATTGCATTATGTTAACGAATTGCAAGATCGCTCTGCAACCAGTGTTCTGTTGTCTGTTGTAACAGATTACACAATGCATGGTTTCATTTTTTGTAGGTTATAGAACAATGCATTGTATTACACGCAAAAAAAAAAGAGAAGAAGAATGCATTGTATAACCTATTTGAACCATACTAGTGCTCATTTTTGTAGGTTATAAAATGCATGACCTGTTTCATATGTTTGTGTGAGCCCGACTCCTCCCCCGACTCCTCCTGTGTCGCCTGCGCGGCGATCGGGGGGAACCCTAGCGCCGCCTCGTCCTCGTCCCTCCCCCGACCTCTCCTCCTCGCCGCCGCCGGGCAAAGCCCGGTCGGCGTCGGCGGCGGCGGGATCTCTTCTCCCACGACTCGCTGGATCTGGCGCGGGCGGATCACGGCGGTTGTTGGCGGCGCGTGCTGGCATGGGCTTGGGGGCGACGGCGGGGCTCACGCTCGTGGTTTCCCTTGGTGTGCGTGGGAGTCCGCTCGGGGCGTGCGGCGGCGGCCCTCGGCAAGCGGTGGTGGGCGCTGGGCTCTCGGCAGCGCTCCGACGTGTGCAGGCGGCGGTGGTTCCTATGCACGGTCGGCGACTCCGTCTCTGACCCGGATGGCGCGGGGGATGGCGGCAGCCCGGCGTGGCCGGCGATCTGGATGCGGTGGTGCCGGCGGTTCGCTGATCTGCCGGTGCTCCATGGTTCTGCCTGGTGGTGCTGGTGGTGACGGCAGCCCGTGCACGAGAGTTGGATCCCTTCGAACTGATTTGGGTGAAAAATTGCCTTCGGCGTCTGCTAAGGCCGGCAGTGGTGGCGCTATATGCGTCGTTCCCTTCTTCAAGGCATCACCATGGAGAAGCTCAAGGCCACTCTCAGCTACCTCCGGGGGGACCTTAAATCGGATGATCGGATGATGACGGCGCTCTGGTGTCGTTCCTCCCTTGGGGGCATCATTCTTGGAGGTACACACGTGATCGAGGGACCAGAGAACGGATTCTTTGGTGGAGCGGTGATTCATCCTACCCACTGATGGCAACAGATCTTGACGGCGTGGCGCAGTACAGATTCGGAGTTCGCTGTGGGAGGATGGACTCACGCAGAAGGATGACGTTGTCGGGCGTCGTGGTGGCGTCGATGGCAGAGTGTAGGATCGAAAGTATGTCTAGAGGGGGGTGATTAGACTACTTGACCAATTAAAAATCTATCCTTTTTCCAATTTTAGTCTTT